ATTATAGAACCTCAACTAGCATAAATCATTCATATAATGTTGAGGTACTACTAATTAAGTAGAACTTATAATCAATATTATATTTGTGTTCTATTAATTGAAATCAATTTAACAATTTAAATCAATTTGATTAATCTAACACCTATTTACTAAAATAGATGATTGTTAATCCAATTATCTAATTGGGATTAATTGAAAATAATTTTCCAAAAATTAAAATCAATTTGTTTTAAGTTTAATTTTAGAAATATGAAATATATATTTTTTTTTTTTTTTTTTTTTCAGTGAACCGGTTCGGCCCAACCGGTCTAACCGGTTCGGACCGAAGCGGTCCGGTTCTGTCCGGTCCAGTTGACCCAAATCAGTGGGCCGGGTCAGTCGGACCGGGAACCGGTCTGACCGACCCGAATCCACGTGGATTCGGTCAACTAGATCGTACACAACCATCGAACCGGCCGGTTCGACCGGTTCGATCCGAACAATTAAAAAACCGATGTTTAAAAAATAATTTCAGATCCGATTTTCCAATTTTAAACAATTTTAAGGGTGGAAAAATTCTAAACAATATTTCAAAAATATTTTAAACTTACAAAAACTCCCAATTACATAATACAACAATCACTACTTTAATAAATCGAACATGCATAAAATCATAGCATATTATACGACGCAATTAATTACGCAATGAGCTCTGATACCACTGTTGGGTTTCGGGCACGTGTACGCAGCGGAAAACAAAAATTTAATGCGATTTAAACGACTTTAAAGCACACAAGCACATGCCCGACAAATTAAAATCAATTAATTGCGTACCTTTGCGCTTCCAGCGAAATTAAAAACAACATACATGCTAAAATGTTTAATCGAATTTAAACCAATTAACATGCTCGCGTTTAAACCAACTAACGTGCTCGCAACGATTAAAACGATTACACATAATCACATAAAATCATACGAAAGCAAACATGAATATTTAGTTTAAACGTAAACGAATCCAAACAAGGGATTCGTGTGTTTACCTCTTGAAGCGTGAGGTAGGAGCGCTAAGCAAGTCGAGATTGCTACGGAAACCAATCCGTACAATCGGGGCAGCAGCGGTGCAGCGGCAGCATCGGCGAGACGGGCCGTGGCGGCGCGTGTAACTCACGCGCGGTCTTCGGGCAGCGCGTGGGGTTGCGTGCGGCGACGGCTCGTGTGCTGCTCCTCAATTCTTCGATCTTCGATCTTCCTCCTCTCGGATTTCACCTCGTATACTTTGATCTACTAAACACGTGGCACTAGACACGTAATAGTTAGAAAAACGGAAGATAAAGAGAAGGAAAGAGACTACCAAGGCAGTCGGCCGATGAACGGCCGATTCCGGCGAGAATCCGGCGACGGCGCCGGTGATGGCCGCGGGAGAGAGAGGCCGAGAGAGAGAGAGGTGGACGGCTAGGGTTAGGGTTAGGTCTTGTGTGTTTGTGCAAGGCCTATAAATCTAGTATTTATAGTCCCTTGCATAAAACCCTAACGGGCTTAAGTTGGATCGGGCCCAACATCTTAAGCTCGTTAGTTCCTTTACTTGCTCGTCTCTCTCAATTCAATGATCGGAAAATCGCAACAATTACATTTTCGGAATCATTATAATATCCTCGTCATTACGAGTGCCATCTTTCATTTTCCAACTTTCCAAAAGTGGAAACCCTAGTTCAGTGCACTTTCTAAATTTGGAAACTTCCCGATTTAGAAAGTTCACTAACACGTTCGCCTATTCTTTTCCTTTTCTTATTCTCATTCATAATTCCAAATTATGAATGTTGGATCCAATCATATTGACTTCCAATCATGCAAAGATAAACTTATTTTATCTCTGACCGTTTATTCAAAGATCTCATGTGCACGAGCAGTGTGACCCTCGATGGTTCAGGTGTAAGCTAGCCGTGGGCCCACAACCCTTTGTGGTAAAAACTCGTCCCTTAGAGTTACGATTAAGATGAAGCTCGTTTCACCTTAATCACCCAACGAATCAAGATTGGCGTCTAGCAACTACGCGTCATGATTCCCTAGATACAAATGAAGTGCCTGCAAGAACCTTCAGATATAGTTAACGTACAGTACGGTCCCTTCGATACATATGTCCCGATCGAACTAGAGGCATTGGTTCATCGAGACCTCTTTATATGTTCGATGACGGTGCGATCGTTCCAAGTGTTGTAATCGTCACGTGCATGACTTAGAGAATCGAATTCTCTAATCATCACTTAGTCAGCTCTGGCCAGAGACTTAGAATGATTACAAACTTTCAGAACACACAGGACATCCAAGACTATTCTAGCGATCGAATCCCCGACTACAATGCACAGACCTCCCACTAGATTTCGGACTGCACGAACACTGGCCCTTGGGATGGTCCTCGGTGGAACTCAGGGACAGGTCACGATACAGCTGGTCCTCTAGTGAAGTCACGGTGATGTCTAGGTCATAAGGACTAATGGTGTACAACTATACCATAGATATCTCTACTCGATTATTGGGAACCACTTAGAGATTTCTAGGGTGAGGGAGTTCAGTGAACTCGTCAACTTACGAGCACCTACTTATGCATGCCGATATCACAATACCGTTTACTGATGAGATGCAGTACACATACACTAAGTGCTAGTCTTAATGGGAAAGGCCGATATCCTCATTAGTGGCGTAACCCTTCGACTAGAAACACGTTTAACAGTTATAATACTTGAGTAAATATCTCACGATCCTAACGATCAATTACTAGCACTTGTAATAACTGTAAGGACTATATCTATGCTTGTGACAAAGGGACAAAGATATAGAATGCCAAGGTGTTTTATCATTAATACGAATAAAGGTTCGTTTATTACAATAATAAATACGGAAGACCACAGCCACATGTTGGCTTGTTGGTCACCTACTCTAACATTTATATGTTGTTGATTGGGTTGGGCTTACTTTGTTGGGCCCAAGCCTTACTTTGAAAGGACTTGGGCTTTCGTGTAATGGGCCCAATTGTAAGTGATTGGACTTTCATGTATCCGGCCTATTTATTAGATAATTTAGGTCCCATTAGGTCTGCCCAATTAGGTATATCAGTTTTAAAGACTGTTTCACAAGACTATTACAGACAATGCATAGAGTATTCTGTACAAAAAATCAAATTTTTAGTACGCATATTTTGAGGGATATTACATTTCTAAGTTAAAACAACTAAAGTGTCGATTTCCTCTGTATCTACTGTTAAGTATATATTTTTACACTTTATCGTACCTTTTTATTTGAGCTTTTGGTGTGTTTTAATGATAATTGGTGCTTAAAAAGTTGATTTGTTGTATTTTAGGTACAAATTGAAGAATTGGAAAAGTATGGGGTCAAAACTGCAATTTTGGAGAAAATATGGGCCAAAAGTGAAAAAATCAAAATTATGAAGATTTAATGCTGAGACCCCCGTCCCAGTTTTAGTGCAAATCGTGGGACCCCCGTCCGAGAATCCGAAGTTGCGCAGTAAAGGGATTTTAATTGTACAAGGAAACTGCCTTCTTCCCCAAGTTCTTCACCCTATATAAGACCAACCCAAGCACACAATTGAGGATCTTTTTTACGCAATTTCAAGAGCAACAAAGCAATAACGAAGACGAAGAATTCGAAGACTCCAAGCAAAGATTTATCGTCTATGATTTATTTTATTTGCGTTTTTGCTTTAATCATGAGTAGCTAAATTAATTGTTTCTAGGATTTTATTTGGAACCCTATGTGGGATTTATGAACCCTTTTCTATGATTTTATGCAAGTTTTAATTCCGGATTATTTCTTCTACTTGTTTTATTAAGTTCATGAAACTGGCCACTTTATGTGCTTTTATGTTATTGTTAATCGCATGAATCGGGAGATCGGGTTAATAATTAGAACTGTGGTAGAAGAGCCTTTGTGGTATTAACATAGGAATATAGTTAATCTCTTAGGTAGCCATTATTGAGATTTGTGCTTAATGATGTGTTCTAGAATTAATTGCATAGGAATATAGTAATTGAATCTAGAGTATTAGAATTATATTGTAATACACGCGGAAGCGGGTTATGATTATTTTAGCATCTCAGGTTAATAATCCGGGTTAATTGCTTGTATAATTGAAGGAATTGGGGGAGTAATAATCACATAGGGGGAAGAATAAAATCCTAGGCTCGCTTATCTTGATTAAATCTTCGTTTTATTTGCTTTCTTGTTTTTGCTTGCTTTCAATTTAGTTTAATTTAATTAATTCTCTCTAAAATTCGACTGTGTAGGGTGGGCTTGATAATAATTGGTAGAATTTAGCGTCTAGGATTAGATAATTAAATATTCCCTGTGGGTTCGATATCCGGACTTTTAGTCCACTATATTACTTGTACGATACGTGCACTTGCGTGTAGGTTTTCGACCAACATCTACCTATTTTTGCTTGTAACTTGAAATCGAGTAGTTTGTTTTAAAAACTGTTTTACGAGCATATTTTAAACAACAAATATAGTCTTATGTAAATAAATCATTTTTTTGGATGAATATTTTAGGAGATATACATTTCGAAGTTAAAACTTCTAAAGTGTTCGATTTCCTTTTTATCTAGTCGTTTTTGCTTATAACTTCAAATTGAGTTGTTCGTCTTAAAAACTGTTTTACGAGCATGTTTTAGACAATGAATAGAGTATAGAACAAAAACGAAAAAAATTTACCTCATTGGATTCCGTATCTCGATTCTCATTCGATGCACTCATATTTTTTTTTTGCAAATGACTACAATAACATGGGATTTGGAATGATTTTTAATATAAAAGCTAAAATTGTAGCAAGAGAAAGAAAGGTAGAGAGTGGATTTTTTAAACCCGCATTCGTAATTTTGCTACCGCGAATATCACCTCCCTTCCTGATTGCTATAGAAAATATTTTTGAGGGACTTCAATGCTAATTTTCCCTTTTTTCTTATCAAAAAAGAAGGGGAAAAAAAAAACTATTAACATTCTGAATGTAATAACAACTTTCCATAGTGTAGGTTGCCAAACTTCTTTTTAAGCAAATTTCAAATCGGCCATCATATTCATCCTCATTCCTCATTTGTCAATTGTCAATTGTCATTATCAATTCTTGGTTAAAACTATTATTAAAAGCTGAACCAAACAAACGTGCAAGAAATTTACAATTCTGAATCCTACATTCTTCTGTATGGAATCTTTGAGGCTCTTCTTCTTCAGGGAATCAAACGCCCCAGAATCAGTAATTCGCCCATCTCTCTGAAAACAATTTATCTTTTGGATAACAAATTTATATTTTTTTTGAAAATTATTTCTCATCTTCCTTGTTATTGTTTATCCCTTTTTACCTAGGGCACTTTTCCGACCTAGGTTTGTTTAATTATTAATTTATTCTTTTTTATTTTGCGGGATTCAGGTTCTGGGTTTGTGAAATTGTCACGCTAATTTGATCGATGACCCGTTTCATTGAATTTATTAATTTTTGGCGTGACGGAGCATCTGCTATTCCCAGTAATTAAATTAGGCAATGGTAAATTTTTTATTCTTCAGTTTTGTCAACAGTTTTAATAATGGCATTGAATTTAGTATGCTTATAATGAATGAATGAATTAATTAATTATTTGCAGATGTCTGATGGACTAAGTGAAGTAAATGACTGTTCTTTCAAAGATGACGACGACGATGAACTATTTGAGATCAGAGAACGATGTAAAGAGGTAAACTCTTATTGAAATTGAAATCGGTGTGCCATTGTTGATATTGACTTCTCTATCTTATTTTATTACGGTCATAGCATTCCTACCGTACAATGCTTTATCCAATTTTTCTTGAAATATGCATTTTCAGTCTGTCGTCTAATTTGAAAAGACAATCGCAAAAAATATAGTTGGAAGAATTAGCAATTGATAGGTGATAACAAACGACTCTTTCTTGAAATATGAATTTTTCAGTTTGTCGTCTTATTTGGAAAGACGATCGCACAAAATATAGTTGGAAGAATTAGCAATTGATAGGTGAAAACAAACGACTCTTTCTTGAAATATGAATTTTTCAGTTTGTTGTCTTATTTGGAAAGACGATCGCACAAAATATAGTTACAAGAATTAGCAATTGATAGGTGAAAACAAACGACTCATCTTGAAATATGCAATTTTCAGTTTGTTGTCATATTTGAAAAGACGATCGCGGAAATATAGTTGCAAGAATTAGCAATTGATAGGTGAAAACAAATTACTCTTTTAGTGGATTGCGATTCCTTCAAACTTCAAGGATTGGACGAAACCAACTTCCAACTCGTTCCATGAGAATATGAGGAGCTTTCCAGTATCCTTGCTTTTAATCAACACAAATGCTGTTCCGAGTCATTGGTTCCATTCTAATTTAGTCATCTGAACTATAATTTCGCTTTTAAATGATTCCTTGTTATCTAAGGCCTCGTTGGGTTGGTAAATAATCCATGTTAATTAAGTAATTTTTAGAGGTCTTATTTGATGTTTGGATTGTGCAATAACTTTGGGGCCGACCCGCAATTTATGGAAAAATGAGCTCTTATTTCGGCTTTTGACAAAATTGTGTGCAATTATACAATTGGGGTCTCATAAGATTGGATAATCTTTTATTGGAAACCAAACGAGGCCTAGGGTACTGTCTCCATTTCAATTTGTCAACTTAGTCATTTTAATACTATTACACATTGTTCTCTGATACAGCTGACAAAGGAAAAGGAGATGCTAACAGATACCAAGTCCGAGAGCTTTGAACTAATCAGAGTACTATCTTTTAACTTTTTATTACTTTCTGGTATCTTAAATGTTATAAACTATTTATATTGTTTCAACATGTTCCCTTTCAATTGTGCAAAAGGCATTTGGTCACATTTGGAAATGGTCTTCTTCTTGTTTGACTTTCTAATGGGCAAATCAAGAATGTTTCTCATCGGTTCATGATTTTTGTCACATTATTAAGATGCTTATAGTGATACTTTTGTCCTCGAGATTTCTTTTGAAAGTATTGAAAAAAATCAAATCTTGATGCTCGTAAACGGAATTTTGATGTTACTGGGCTCAAAGACACTAAAGTACAACCCTTTTTAATTGCAGAAAATGGAATCCCACCTTAAGACGTTATCTGAATCTCGTGAAGAAGACAAGAAACGTATTGCTGATTTGGAAAGAGAACTCAATAATTCCATCCAAGAAATAGGTGGTGACATCCTCTATAACACACACACACGCACACACACTCGTATATATGTGTTTCTATATCTCATCTTCGTCTTCTTTTTCCAATAGAATATTTTAGCAACTTCTTAATGCAAACTCTTTCACTTTCCATATGGCCAACAGGGGTCAAGTGAAGTGACTTATAGTAACACGTTTTGAGAGGATTGTTTTATTTATATTATTTTTTTATTGTGTACATTAGTAATTAATAGCATAAGAGGTCAAGGTCCATTTCTTCCTAATAGTATGAAACAGCTATTAAGACGTGGAAGTAACTGGGATCTTCACTTAAAGTTGACGAATAAAAACTTTCCATTTCCTAAGGTTTTATATCTATTATTCTATATACGGATTGAATAATCTACCCATTGCCAATTTAAGGATTGAATAATCTCTAGGTCCGTATGATCTTTGTTGATGATAATAATCTGTTGTTTTCTGTGTATTCCTCAAATAGATTTTCCGAAAGATTTAAAAGATGGCTGTGCTCACTTATCTGAATCGAGTCGTTTCTTTGTCCTTTTTTACTTGATCGATTATAAACTTTCTCACAGATTACTTGCAGGATCAACTGAATATGAGGAGCTCAGACCAAAATTTTCCGAGCGAGCAAATGCGCAGCTATCAGTTTGCGGACACAGAAAATATATCCGAATCTGAAAGGTCGTTGCTTATGCAAGAAATAGAGGATAAAGAAGTTGAAATAAGATATTCAGCCTCGCACGTTGAAAAACTGGAGGAATCAATTTCTTCCATGGCATTAGAATATCAATGTGAAATCGAGACCATGAAGCTGGAGTTATTTTCCTTCGAAAAGATTCTTTTCGAGACTAAGAAATTACTAGAAGAAACAACTCTAGAAAATACTGGGATGAATGAGTTGATTCGAGATCTTCAGCTGCAAAATCAAGACGCAAATAAGGTTATAGAGAGATTAGAAAAGGAAAATAAAGATTTGAAAGAAGAGTTAGAAAGGTCAGATATGCATATCAAATCATTTCTGACCAAGTTGGAAGAGCAATTTCATGAGTGGTTGGGTAATAACGATAGCCAGTCCTTGAGTAAACTGGAGAAAGATACGAGGTAAGCTTAAATATCAAGTATTGCATTTAATCGTCAGCTTATATTATCTTTTGGCTTAGTTATCTTTTTTCTGAATCATAAGAAAGGAAAATAATGTTTCACCAACTCACGTTTGGGGTTTGGGATAGCAGTGCAAAGGCCAAAGATTTGTTTAGACACTGTTATTTCACCATTTACTTGAAGTTAAAATTACGAGATTATAGTGAAGGATGAAGAAAATAATGAAATGTTGAAAATTTAACGCATGCCTCTAATTAGATTGAAAGTTTGTTTTGTACTAGGAATCCCATCCAGTCGTACTAGAAAATCCCGAGATTGCAGATTTGGATATTTAATTTTTTATATTTATATGATTGCGCATGCCAGTTTTGATAAACTTGTATGCAAACATGTAACATCAGATCAGACCCTCTAGCAAGTAAATACTGAAATGTTAAGTAATCATGTCAGATTGCGAAATTGATTTTTAAATTCTTTTTTTACAATTTCAATTTAAACCTATTTGATTATTTTTGGGTTACAAAAAATGTTTCTACGAGAACGGCATATATCTTCTTAACTTTGTAATTCTTAATTCTTTTCTCTTTGATGATAGGAAGCTGTGATCTCTGTAGTGTGTTAAGTCTTAGAAAATAATGTCTGTGGGACTTTTCTGTATATATTTTTTAGCTGAGCTAAATCATTCTGCTTCTTTTTGCATAATCTCTTTTCCGTGTTTCCTTTCTTGTTTGAAAATTTGCATGGAAAATTTAAAACAATCGAACATCATTGCCCAAGGTTGGAAGCTGAATTTGTAAGCAGCATATTTTGTCAATACTTTCATCATATAATCGACTGGAGGAACAAAATTTCTCAGGGTTTTTGTTGGAAGCTGATAATGGCTTATAATCGAGGACCCAAGGTTGCATATACGTCTTATATCCTTACAAACATGATTTAATATGTTGATACTTGAGTCTTCCATTCTTGATCGTTAATTTGAAATAATAATAACAATACTGGGTGCTGTCATTCTTGTATTATAATGTGGTACTGCGTCTTTAACTTATTTGGACTTCGTTCAAAATACACTTGCAGCAGCACATTTGGCAATTTTTTGGGTCCACTATTTACCAAACTTGCCATTCCGATGGCATCATCAGATGCAGATTTGAGGAACAAGATGGCTGAAATGTCTCGTCAGATAGATGACTATGAATGTCTTGTAATGCAGCTTAAGGTATCCTTAATTTATAAGCTCGTCCAATCATTTCTTTTTCTGTTTTTAAATTAAAATAAAACTATAATCTCTATATCAGTCAACCCTGTAACGTAACGTAACGTAAATTTTTTTCCAGGAAGAAGTAAAAGATGAAAGGTTGAAAGCAAAAGAAGAAGCGGAGGATTTAGCTCAGGAAATGGCTGAGTTAAGGTATCATCTAACAGACATGCTCGATAAAGAGTGTAAGCGTCGTGCTAGCATCGAACAAATATCTTTACAAAGAATAACCGAATTGGAGGCTCAGGTATTTGAATCTTTATCTTTTTTGTTTCCCAATAAGTTTCGATATTTCTGAACGATAATTTTCATTTATGATGAAGATTACGAAAGAACGGCAGAAATCCATCAGCCCTCGAGATCTTGTTGTGAGGAATCAATGAAACATTAAACTAAGGGCCTCAAAACTCGAAAATCGCATCTTCTTCCGAATTTTGTGTTCTTCCAGGTATGTGACGATAAATTCATCTTATCATTTATATTGCATTGTTAATACATTTTAACGTGGTTAAAATGTAATGCAGGTTCCATCTTATAAGACGAAAACTCCAATTTCCTGCGGAGTATCCGAGGAGCCTTGTGCGGATTCCCATTTATTTAATTAGTTTAATCTTATCTGTGGTTCTGAATCGGAAATTGGAATCCCGAAGAAATTTGTCGAAGATTGCCGTGTCAAAAGCACGAGTTCGAAGAAGAAGCAGAGTCAACTCCGTCAGTTGATTAAAATGTTCCGATGTTGATGGTTCTTTTATTAATTGATGTGATTTTTTTTATATGAAAATGTTGTAGGTTTGTGATTATGTTGTAGCTGTTCAATATGAAGATGAAGATGAAGAGAATGAAGAGATTATTACATGCACAATTTTCTTACAAGATGTGAAAATGTATCGAGAATATACCTTTTGTTATAGGGGCTCTTTGATGAAACCCCCTCGTTATGTTTTTTAATGGAGAGAGGTCCAAAATATTTTTCTCCATTTGAGAAAAGCCCAAACCCATTTCGACCTATTATGTTTTCCAGCTTTGTCCCCGCCCGCCACATAATCACTGGGTCACGCGCTCAACAATTTTATTTATTTATTATTTTATTCTTTTTTTTTTCCGTTTTTTTTCCTTCTTTTCTGTACCAGTTTTTTTAATCGACTATGGAGCATAGTCGATTAGCCTTAATCGACTATGCTTCATAGTCGATTAAGGAAATTCTTTAATTTTTTTATTTATTTTTTTGTTTTTTAATTTTTTTTTCTATATCAGTATATTAATCAACTATGATGAAGCATAGTCGATCAAAAATCTGCTACTAAAAATAATAAATCAAAACTGAAAAAAAATGTAAAATCAACTATATTTTACAAAAAAATAAAAAATATAAGAACATTATAATGATTTATACAATTGGAATCAATAACCAAAAAAAAAAAAAAAAAAAAAAGGAAAATTGGAGTCGAGCAACTTTAATCGACTACCAGAGCATAGTCGATTAAGAATCTTCTACTAAAAATAATAAATAACAACTGCAAAAAATTGCAAAATCAACTATATATTATAAAAACAAAAAAGTATACAAACATTATAATTGATTTATACAATTGGAATCAATCAACGAAAAATCCAAAAAAAGTAAAAAAAAAAAATGGAGTCGATCAACCTTAATCAACTAGCAGAACATAGTCGATTTAGCTTAATCGACTATGAATATGTACTGTTGGTTGTAATACCTACACGCAAGTGCACGTATCATACAAGTAATAAAGTGGATTTTTTAAAGTCCAAGTATCGATCCCACAGAGAATATTTAATTATCTAATCCTAGACGCTAAATTCTACCAATTGTTTTCAAGCCCACACCCTACACAGTCGAATTTGGAAAAGATTAACTAAATTAAACTAAATTAAAAAGCAAGCAAAAACAAGAAAGCAATGTAAAACGAAGATTTAATCAGAGAAAACGAGCCTAGGATTTTATTCTCCCCCCTATGTGATTATTATTCCCCCAATTCCTTCAATTATGCAAGTAATTAACCCGGATTATTAACCTGAGATGCTAAATTAATCATAACCCGCTTTCGCGTGTATTACGATTCTAATATTCTAGATTCAATTACTGTATTCCTACGCAATTAATTCTAGAACACAACATTAAACACAAATCTCAATAATGACTACCTAAGATGTTAACTATATTCCTATATTAATGCCACAAAAGCTCTTCACCCGCAGTTCTAATTATTAATCCGATCTTCCGATTCATGCAATTAATAATAACATAAAAGCACATAAGTTGATCAAGTTCATGCACTTAATAAAACAAGTAGAAGAAATAATCCGGAATTAAAACTTGCATAAAATCATAGAATTGGGTTCATAAATTCCATATAGGGTTCAAAATAAAATCCTATAAATAAAGAATTAGCTACTCGTGATTCTTATGATAAAGAAAATAAAATAAATAAATTAAATAAGAAAAACTATGCTTGAATCTTCGTTGATCTTCTTTGCTCTTGAATTTGCGTAAAAGATGGATCCCCAATTGTGTCATTGGCTTGGTCTTATATATGGTGGAAAATTTATAGAAGAAGGTAGTTTCCTTGTGCAATTAGGATTCCTTTACTGCGCCTTTTCGTCATCTCGGACGGCCGTCCCGAATTTTGTACTAAAACTCGGACGGCCGTCTCAAAACCAGAGACTTCTTCTGTTTCTCATACGGCCGTCTATGTTTTAAGTGTAAATCTCAGAAGGCCTTCCTGGCTATATTTCTTCAGATTTTTGATTTCTTCACTTTTGGCCCATATTTTCTCCAAAATTGCAGTTTTTACCTCATACTTTTCCAATTCTTCAATTTGTACCTAAAATACAATAAATCAACTTTTTAAGCACCAATTATCGTTAAAACACATCAAAAGCTCCAATTAAAAGGTACGATAAAGTGTAAAAATATACACTTAACACACCCCCAAACTTGAAATTTTGCTTGTCCTCAAGCAAAATCTACCAATAAGCAAATAACTCAACTACTACATTTCATTACATAGATCAATGATCAACTTCACGTTTTCAGAACTTGTAATTATAATGACAATTCTTAGGCATTCGCAAGCTCAAAATTCAACAACACTTAGTCACTAACCATTACCAAAAACCACAATTCATACAATTGCTTCAGGCATCCAATATTTGCAAATTAAAGATAGAAAGAATTTATATTTACATGCACATGTTTGACTTCTTCTTTTTCTCTTTTTTCTCTTTTTTTTTAATATATATATATATATATATATATATATATATATATATATATATATATATATATATATATATATATATATATATATATATATATATATATAAAAAAAAAAAAAAAAAGAGATACATATATATATATACATATATATATA